TAATCTATCATATGATCAGTGGTCAGTTATGAGAAAGGATGAGTTAGACATTCTATGCAATCAATATTTTATGCGGTCAACTATTAATCTAATCATATGATCAATGGTCAGTTATGAGAAAGGATGAATATTAATTTAATTGTTTTTACTAAGAGAATATTATAATGCAAACATTGAATAGATTTGATCGTATAATTTCTTTTTTTTTTTCAAATTGTGAACTTTTGCAAAAATTTAATTAGAAAATTTCATATTAGTATTGTTTTAAAAAAAAAAAGGCCTGTTATTTGTAAATTTAATTAAATTGGAATTTATTAAGTTTAATAATTTATTAAAATACATTAAAATTATTAAAATCTATTAAAATGGAATTTAGTAATTTATTAAATTTTAATAAAGAAAATTTTTTAGAATTACAAAGGGGAGATCAGTCTATTTTATCAAACGAATCAAACAGTTCACATTCAACATCTGTTGATAATAACATTATACCTGTTAGTAATAATGAAAAAGATGAAAATATTCAGCCATCAACTAGTACAGCTTTTTATGAGGTATGTTTAAAGGATTCTGATACTGATATTTCTCTAATTAAATTTAAAGTATTTTGATACTGGCATTTCTCTAATTAAAGTACTCTGACACTGATATTTCTCTAATTAAATTTAAAGTATTCTAATACTGATATTTCTCTAAATAAATTTAAAGTATTCTGATACTGATATTTCTCTAATTAAAGTATTCTGACACTGATATTTCTCTAATTAAATTTAAAGTATTCTAATACTGATATTTCTCTAATTAAATTCAAAGTATTCTAATACTGATATTTCTCTAATTAAATTTAAAGTGTTTTGATACTGATATTTCTCTAATTAAATTTTCCTAAAATTTTTTAATTTGTTAATTTTTATGCTAAAAATGTTTCGATTAGTTAATATCACATTGCATTGATATTTTTCCTAATCAAAAGTTGATTGTGTTTGATAAAAAGTTTTAACTTTTTCTGCTTATGCTATCATTCTCATATCAAATACTATCATTGGTAAATCTAAAATTTTTAATGAAAATACATAAGTTTTAATTAATAGTCAAATATTTGTAAATTATAGATATATGTGCTTGGTTCAACAGGTGTAGGAAAAACAACACTAATTGGACAATTTATGACATCGGATTATCGAAATACCTATGCTACTGATATAGGTATAATTTTATACTGTTTTTAATTTTTCATATATTTATAAATTTATTGGTAAAATTTTAACATATTATATTATAGCATTAGTTCTGGCAACAAATCTTACATCCTAATATCTCTTGAATTATTTGGATGAAATTTTAAAAAATTTTATCTTTGACTTTTTATCCTATAAAATAAATATTTTGCAGTACAATTTGATAATACAGTATCAATTATAATTGGTGATAAGGAAAGTGAATTGACTTTTCATGAAGTTGATCTAAGCAATGTAAGTTATATAATATGTGGCTTAATTTTTGTCTATTTTATTTCAAGTATATATAAATGATAGTTTTTTAATTATATTCAAATGGATCGAATTAATATAGAATAAATAAATTATATAATAAATAATAATAAATAAATAAAATGTATAAATGATAGAAGTTTTCAATTAAATTCAAATGAATAAAATTAATATATAATAAATGTAATTCGAAATTAAATCATTCCCAAGTTAAAATGTAATTCGAAGTTAAATCATTCCTAAATTGAATAAATGAAAAATTAAATTTGAATAAGAAGAAAAAATAAATAATATACAAATTCAATTTAATCGAATTAACACTGATCGTTATAATTAATGATATGAAAGGATATATATATATATATATATATTACTGTTTAGAAATGTTTAGAAATATAAACAAATAATATCGAAATTCAATTTAATCAAATTAACACTGATCGTTATAATTAATGATATGAAAGGATATATATACATATATTACTGTTTAGAATAATTCTTGGCTAGATGGTAAAGCAGATATTTATTTGCTATTATATAGTGTTGATTCAAAAAATTCGTTCAAAGATGTTATGAATGTTGTTGAATGTTTACGTGAATCAACAACAGCACGTCATACACCTATTGTTATGGCTGCTAATAAAGTTGATTTAGAACGAAAACGTGCTATTAGTAAGACAGGTATGCTAATACTTTTAATCAAATAATCTATTTCAATATTAATTGATTATATTCTTTTCTTTCTCTTACAACCTCTGTTTATTTCTTTAATCTTATAACTTATAAATAATCTTATATAATCATTAATCTTACTTAATCTTATAACATGAAAAAAAAATTAAAGGATATATTTTTTTCTAACTTCTACATGAATTTTTTAGATGCAAAAAATGCAGCAATGACTTATGGCTTTGCACATTACGAAATATCAGTGGCGTTAAATTTAGACGTTGATGATCTTTTGGTTGGACTTATTGCTGAAATTAAGCAATCGTTGAAATCTGATCTACTCGATATTCATGATGATATCAAAGTTTGTTTCAAAACAATTTTGCTTTTACAAAAAACACGTAAAAATAAATATTTTAATTTTTTAAAATCTAAAAATATATTCTACTGATTATTTAATTAGTAGGATATATTTTATATATAATATATATAATATATAATATATTCTACTGATTAATCAGTAGAATATAATAGAAAAAAAGATGAAAGAAAATCGTAGACATTACAATTTTGAATTTTTCATAAAATTTAATTTAAGAAAATTTTAGCGAAAAATAATTTTTTGCTAATTACAATTTGTTAAATATTTTTTTCAAATGTATTATAAAAATTTTCCTAAAACTTCAATCACGTGCAATAATTAAAAGTAAAGTTTTAATATTTTCATTTCTACAAAATTACCGATGATAACTTTCCATTTTTTAGCCTTCTAAAGAGAATACCGATACGAAAGAGATAAAAGAACCAAACGATTTTAGAGCTGCAATACGAAGATTTTCAAGGAGAAGACAACATCAAATGTGTGGTACCAATGAGGTATATTCCTTTCTTTCATATATATGAAATATAGGAATATAGGAATTAATTTATGAGATCAATAAGATATTTTCTCCTATATTGCTTATCTTATTTGACTATTAATGACAGTCTGAAATTGTCTGATTTCTTTTTTAAAATAGCCTAATTGTAGGCTTCATCAAAAATTAGTGAAATAGCCTATTCAAATAGTGCAACAACAATTTTGCCTTCAAATGATAGATAATATTGATCGAAATTATTACTGTAGCCTAAAAATATTAATCCTAAAAATTTTTAAGAGGTATTCGATGAAATTTTTTTGTTTCAGAAACAAGCGAATAAATGTACCCATTTCAAAATCAATCTTATGGAACGTTTTCGAAATTTGAGACGATTATTGCCAAATTTAAATTATTAATTGTATTATTGAACGAAGAAATTCCTCTTTCTACTATAGCTCTTTCAATTCTTTGATAATTTTTGTTTATTAAATTTATTGTTTTTAAATTTTTTGTTTGAATAAATATATTGTTTTTTTTTTTAAACTTATTGTTTTTAAATTTTTTGTTTGAATAAATTTATTATCTAATTGATAATATTATTATTGATAATTATTGATAATGACATTATATGATTATTGATAATTATTGATAAGGATGACAGTTTCTTTAAAATGAATAAAATTTTGCAAAACAAAAAACATGTGTCATCATTGCAATAATATTCAAGCAAATTCAACATTACTTAATTGTTAATCGTATATGATGATGATCGTATATGCAAATATGATAATAATGTTATTATTGAAAAAATAGCAAGTGAATGTTTATACCGTATAAACATATATACAATTATTCATGCAACTTTAGTAGCTAAAAGGAATTTTTCTCATGAACAAATGTTTAATTAATTGAAGAATATTTTTTGACGATTTAAATAAAAGTCAATTAATTATTTTTCATATTTAGTATATTTAATGCTAGATTATATCTGTATCAAATGCAATTATAATATGAAATTCCAACTATTTTGTAGCATTATGATATCTTTGTTTCAAAAAACAACCAAACAAACAAACAATGCATAACCATTCATTCTGTAAATAAGAAATTACTAAAATAATGTAATAAAGAAAGAGGAAAATTTTTAGTGGTTGAAAAATTTGGTAACCGTAAGATAAATTAATTGCATAGTGATATCAACTACGGTGTTACACTAGGTATCGAAGTTGCACAACGTTTCGATGTTATAAGAAGTTTTAGGCGACAGTGGGGTCATTGGATTGAGCGGTCGATTGTTGCATTGGTTGAGTGGTTCCTTCATTTCCTGATATATTTTATTATTTTTCTGTTTAATATGTTTACAAGAATGCTATCATTACTGTTGGTTTAATTTCCTATTAATTTCTAATTTGTTACGAATGAAACGAAATTTGTTGTTTCTTATCCATATAAAGCGATACTGAATTGTTGTATGATGAATGCTTTTTATTATACAATACATTTATATGAGTCATTTGATATAATATTTTATTCAGTTCTTCTCTTCTTTTTAAACTTGGCAAGATTTAGCTGCTAATATTGCGTTTTTCACCGAAAAGATGGAAACGATTATGAAAACAACGATGAAAAATGTTTTTGCTTGAAATGATCTGTTGGGAGTTGATTACTGATTCCATTTTGCTTCACTATTAATATTCGAGGGAGTAGCCTCATCCACTGATTTTCATCATTAAACGACCACCACCATTTCAAACATTAATTAGAACAGAAGAGCGAAAATAGATAAAACTATATAATTGAGACTATTAGTCATCGTTTGCTTATTTTAATAATTAATGCAATCCATTTTGCATGGTTTGCGGTCGATTTTCGTTTTCTTTATAAAAATTTTCATTTTCTTTTTAAAATCGTTGGTGACTTTGTGCTCTCAACGCGTAGTAGGAATAAACTCAAGAAATTCGTGGTTGTAGCGAAATATCTATGTAGTGCTTTCTTTATCGATCTTAATGCAGATTTTTAGAAATAATATAAGATGGCGGAGTCACCAGTAATTGACTTCGACGTACTATTTTACGATCATTTAATCAAGGAGGAACCAAAATTGGTGAATAAAGTGTTCAGTGCGCAGCGGCGAGATGAATTAGAAAAGAGACGGGTATGTCTTTGTTGCTCATCTATGATCAGTGTTAAATTTCTTATTGTTTCCTTTTTCTGACATTTATTTTTTCTGACGTACAGATATGGGGATTTTCAGCGGTCATCTGGTAATTTCAAGACACTGAAAGAGGTTGTAAAGGAGTATAATAAGATTGCTTGTCGAAAGCGTAGTGCTAATGGCGTTATCAGTAGTTCGCCTGTTGCCAAAAAGGCTTTAAGACAAGATGAAACGGATGACTCAAGTGACAGTTCAGATAGCGATCACCCAATCAAGCAGGCAGCGGCAAGTTTTTCAATCATAATTTTTGTCTTTGATTTTAATAATCTTCAGAATCGTAAAAAATGATTGCTTGAATAATTAGTTGGTAAAACGTCTGGTTAATAGATAAAAATGTCGTTATTTAAAACTGTCGAAACGTCAATACTACTTGGACAACTAGATTTGATGTTGTTTTCGTGATGAGTTGTTCCGAAAATTTTTTTGAGACATTTGATAACAAGTTAATATCATATGTTTAAAACTAGATTTAATGGAACTGCCTATAATGCTTTTTTTAATGGGGGCATGTTTATTGACTTGTTAGCTGGGTAGGATATATAATATACATGTCCAAGCTGATTTCAGATAAAATTAATCAGTGGTGCTGGAATAAAACGGCCTGCTCCTCCATCGTCATCATCAAATTCTGATTCGGATATTCCTGTTAGTTTTTTTTGCTTTTCCTCCATGAAATATAAAAAAAGGATTTTATGATATGAATGAATACATTCTTCGTTGATCTTCAAGTCCTGAATTGAAATTCATTTAGGCGCATCAGAACTGGACGGTTTTATGCCGTTGTAGTTTAAGCGGCGCCTTAAATTATATCGTCACTCTAAATTAGCCGCAATTAATTCTTTACGGTCGCTTAAACTTTTGATTAACGGACATAATTTAGTTCAAAGTCTTTAAAAATTTCATTTCCCACTTTTTTGAGTTTAAATGTCTCTGGTTCACCTGATAACAGGTTCATTTCAGACGAAAGGCAAGGCAGGTCAGCCAATAAACCAATCGAACGGTAGGACCGCATCATTATCTGGCAGCGATGATAACGGAAAGATATCGATGGTTAGAGATTTTTAGAATCTGTGTAAAGTTTTGTTTTTTAATATTATTTAAAGAAGTGAGCGAACTTATTTTATTGGTGTCATGATTATTTTCAATCTCGATCTTATCTCAGTTATAAAAAATTTTCATGTGGTTTTTCTGAACTATTTTCAGAAACAACTCATTTCGAAAGCAGATAAGAAGCCACAAACGAAATCGCCTAGTTCTAGTGGTTTATTGACTGAAAAAGAGATTCAATCACCTAATCTCGTGATTGCGAGGAAAGAGGCAAGAAAGAATAGCAGTTTTAGTCCTTCAAGCACTTTAGATGAAGTGGCGAAAAAAGAAATCAGGATTTCGTCAGCTAGAAAACAAACTGTATCGAAAAAGCAGAATTCGTTAACAAGTCCTAGCAGTGACGAGAGTGATAGTGGTGTTGGAGGGAAATTAGAACTAAGCAGTCTTGAAAAATCAGTTCCGAAAGACCAGGTCATGCCAAATGCCAATTTGAAAAAAAATGCAGCTCCTGGAAGTTCATCTGATACCAGTTATAGTGATGATATAGATACGGGTGTGAAAGAAAAAACTCTCGAGAAAGCTGTCTCAGTCGCACGAAAAGCTAGTTTAAAAAATACTACTGCAAAAAAACCATCTGGAAGTACGTCTGACAGCACTTCTAGTAGCGATGTGGATGATAGTGCAAATAAGAGCTCGAGGCTATCAGTGCAAGCACGAGTTCCTGGAAAAGCGGTTCTAGCCACACTAAGTGCCAATTTAAAAAATGCCGCTCCTTCAAAGAAGCTATCTGAAAGTTCATCTGACAGCACTTTCAGTAGCGATGAGAATGCAAAGAAGGATTTGCGGCCAGTAGTGAAAGGAAAAGTTCCCGGAAAAGCAGTTACAACCACGCCAAATGCCAATTTAAAAAATGCTGCTCCTGCAAAAAAACCGTCTGAAAGTTCATCTGACAGCACTTCCAGTAGCGACGAGAACACAAAGAAGGATTTGCGGTCTGCAGTGAAGGGAAAAGTTCCCGGAAAAGCAATTCCAACCACGCCAAGTGCCAATTTAAAAAATACTGTTCCTGCAAAGGAACTAACTGAAAGTTCATCTGACAGCACTTCCAGTAGCGATGAGAATGCAAAGAAGGATTTGCGGCCAATAGTGAAGGGAAAAGTTCTTGGAAAAGCAGTTCCAACCACGCCAAGTGCCAATTTAAAAAATGCTGCTCCTGCAAAGGAACCAACTGAAAGTTCATCTGACAGCACTTCCAGTAGCGATGAGAACACAAAGAAGGATTTGCGGTCTGCAGTGAAGGGAAAAGTTCCCGGAAAAGCAATTCCAACCACGCCAAGTGCCAATTTAAAAAATACTGTTCCTGCAAAGGAACTAACTGAAAGTTCATCTGACAGCACTTCCAGTAGCGATGAGAATGCAAAGAAGGATTTGCGGCCAATAGTGAAGGGAAAAGTTCTTGGAAAAGCAGTTCCAACCACGCCAAGTGCCAATTTAAAAAATGCTGCTCCTGCAAAGGAACCAACTGAAAGTTCATCTGACAGCACTTCCAGTAGCGATGAGAACACAAAGAAGGATTTGCGGTCTGCAGTGAAGGGAAAAGTTCTTGGAAAAGCAGTTCCAACCACGCCAAGTGCTAATTTAAAAAATGTTGCTCCTGCAAAGAAACTGTCTGAAAGTTCATCTGACAGCACTTCCAGTAGCGATGAGAATACAAAGAAGAATTTGCGGTCAGCAGTGAAAGGAAAAGTTCTCGGAAAAGCAGTTCCAACCACACCAAGTGCTNATGTTGCTCCTGCAAAGAAACTGTCTGAAAGTTCATCTGACAGCACTTCCAGTAGCGATGAGAATACAAAGAAGAATTTGCGGTCAGCAGTGAAAGGAAAAGTTCTCGGAAAAGCAGTTCCAACCACGCCAAGCGCCAATTTAAAAAATGCTACTACTGCTAAGAAATCGTCTGAAAGTTCATCTGACAGCACTTCCAGTAGCGATGAGAACACAGAGGATTTGCGGTCTGCAGTGAAGGGTAAACTTCTCGGAAAAGCAGTTCCAACCGCACCAAATGCCAATTTAAAAAATGCTACTACTGCTAAGAAACCGTCTGAAAGTTCATCTGACAGCATTTCCAGTAGCGATGAGAATACAAAGAAAGATTTGCGGTCTGCAGTGAAGGGAAAAGTTCTTGGAAAAGCAGTTCCAACCACGCCAAGCGCCAATTTAAAAAATGCTGCTCCTGCAAAGGAACCAACTGAAAGTTCATCTGACAGCACTTCCAGTAGCGATGAGAATGCAAAGAAGGATTTGCGGTCTGCAGTGAAGGGAAAAGTTCTTGGAAAAGCAGTTCCAACCACGCCAAGCGCCAATTTAAAAAATGCTGCTCCTGCAAAGGAACCAACTGAAAGTTCATCTGACAACACTTCCAGTGGCGATGAGAACACAAAGAAGGATTTGCGGTCTGCAGTGAAGGGAAAAGTTCTTGGAAAAGCAGTTTCAACCACGCCAAGCGCCAATTTAAAAAGTGCTACTCCTGCTAAGAAACCGTCTGAAAGTTCATCTGACAGCACTTCCAGTAGCGATGAGAATACAAAGAAGGATTTGCGGTCAGCAGTGAAGGGTAAACTTCTCGGAAAAGCAGTTCCAACCGCACCAAGTGCTAATTTAAAAAATGCTGCTCCTGCAAAGAAACTGTCTGAAAGTTCATCTGACAGCACTTCCAGTAGTGATGAGAACACAATGAAGGATTTGCGGTCTGCAGTGAAGGGAAAAGTTCTTGGAAAAGCAGTTCCAACCACGCCAAGCGCCAATTTAAAAAATGCTGCTCCTGCAAAGGAACCAACTGAAAGTTCATCTGACAGCACTTCCAGTAGCGATGAAAATACAAAGAAGGATTTGCGGTCAGCAGTGAATGGTAAACTTCTCGGAAAAGCAGTTCCAACTAAGCTAAGTGCCAGTTTAAAAAATGCTGCTGGTACAAAAAAGCCTTCTGAAAGTTCATCGGACAGCACTTCAAGTAGCGATGATACAAGTGGTAATCTAGAGTTATCACTGAGGCAGAGTGTAAGTAAATCTCTTGTATTGCAGAAAGGCAAGGAATTCAAGAACGGCAGAGGAAGTTTCGATAAGAAAACTTCTAATGCACTGAACGGAACATCCAAAATAACTCCATCTTCTGCTAGGAAATCCCAGGCCATGAACGATTTAGATGACAGCAGTTCAGATTCCGAAAGCGAAATTGACGAAACATCAGCCAAAAAGCTAAAGTTACAGGTTCACCAGAGGACTACAGGGACAATTCAGAAGAAGGCAGTAGATACCAGTTCGTCGGATTCTAGTGGCAGCGATAGCAATAGTGCAATAAAGCCGACAAAAGGCGTTCAACAAAATTTGGCGGCTGTCCTGAATGGCAAATTGAACAGTGCCGTGGGAAGTAACTCAATGGATGAATCACATCGTAATGCAGCGAAGACTAGAACAACAAAAGCAGTTGGAGATAAGACCTTTGCGAATGAGGATACATCGTCTTCTGATTCGAGCAGTGATAGTGAAATAGGGGAAGTAGCAGTTGCGAATGCTAAAAAATCGAAGAAAGCATCGAAACCGGCGGTCACTCAGCCGAAGGTTAAGCCATGTTTGTCTTCTGATTCATCCTCGGATTCCGAAACAGTTACTTTTTCTAAAAATACTGTGCAGAAGCAGCAGCCACTCAGGCTGGAGCAAGGAGTGACCCGGAAGCAAAAATTAGTGAATGATAACTCTTTTGATGATGCTAGGGCTGAGAGAACTGAAACGAAAGTTTCCGTTGTCAGTAAAGCTGCTATCATATCACCGAAACATTTGAATCAAAAAGCAAAGCCAAAACCGCTAGGCCCGCTGAGTAATTCTAAATTTTCTGCCGAAAAGGATTCCGAAACTTCGTCTGATTCAGATTCCGATGAAGTTGCTTTGACACGACTGCAGCCGCAGACTACGGCAGGAGCACAGATAAATGGCAAACCTATCGGCACAAAGGATTCAGTTACTTCATCAGGTTCGTGCTTCAACAGTTATGTAGCCTCAGAGAAAAGAAATGTTAAAACTACTTTTAAGCAAGTTAATAAAGGAATTTGTGGAGGTGTTGATTTCACGAAGGAAGGGGCAGCAGAAAAACGGAAGTTAACAGTAAACGGATCACATAAAATAGTTTTTCATTCATCGACTTCAGAATCAAATGTTAAAGGTTTGTCTGCTGGAAATTCACTTGGCATTGCGCATATGTCTTCGTCAAATGGTAGTAACAGAGACAATAATAAAAGGTCGGTTTTTGAAAATACCCTTAACTTCGCTTCATCATTCAGACTATAAATTATAATTTTTTTTAGAGTTAGCATCAATATATTGCTTTTTTGAATTTCTTAAGTATGCTTGTTACCGTGTTTTTTCGTCTCAATTATCTTATATCTGTTTTTAGTCTTTTTTAGGAAAGCTGATGATACTTCAGGGAAAGCTACGAACACTGTGAAAGCAATTTCGTTGAAAGAGGTATTAATTAAACTTCTGAGTCTTAAGAGCTTGAACTTTGATGGATAATTGTTTCATTGAAATCAGTTGGTGAAGTTGATTTAATTGGACGAATTGAAACATAATTTTTTCAGGATAAAAATAATAAAAGTTGGACTCAAAAAAACACAGGCTGGAAGATGGAAAATAAAAACGCGGACATAAAGGATGGAAGGAATGATGTGCAGAATGGGTTTGTATCTAATTATTAAACTGGCACCCAATGATGATAGAATTAAGATGTTTTTAGTAGGGTTTTATGGAAAAAATGAGGAATATTTTGATTAGCAGTACATGAAAATAGCAAATTTTTTTTCTCTATATTTACATTACAGAATGGGCACGAATCAAAACGCTATGGATAAAAACAATAGCAAGCAGCAGAGGAAGGTATCCGCAGTTATGATTTTCTTTTTTGCACATTGATGTAGTTTGACGAACTTTTATAGCTCCCAGATATTGTCAGCAATATTGTAGCTGCTGCTAATTTCTGTTCGATTGTGTTTAAGTTACTTCACAGTTTTTCCATTACTGTATTTCTTGCATTCCAAACTCACCAATTTGTAAAGTTCAAAAATCATTGTAGATTGTGAAGAATGAACCGTTTCGTCGAGTGAAGACTTCGAAAGATGAATTGGATAGCAGATTTTGCGATAACTCTTACCTCACTAAAGTACGTCCTTAACATAACACTTTTTTCCCCGATCTTTTCTTTTTTTGAGAAAAAATACAAAAATTCATTCGACTCGAAATATTTTCTTTTATCCCTTACCTACTTTTGCGATTTATAATCAAACTGAGAAAATAATAAAAGTCTTGGAGTTTTTTGCTTTGATATCATGTTTTGCGCTCTTTGTCCGTGAAGCTTCACCATCAAAATGTTCCCCTGCTCGAAATGGTTTATATTTTGTTTGAAATTATTATAATTTTTATATATTCATTTGTTTATTAACTTTCATTTAGACTTACGACCAGTGGGGTAGGAAGGCATATGAAGAAATGAAAAATGTGCAAGGCAAAGGATTTCGGCATGAAAAAACGAAGAAGAAACGTGGCTCCTATAATGGTGGTACGAAAATTGATACCAGTTCTCATTCGGTTAAATTTAACACCGACAGTGATTGAAGAAGTATTTTGTTGTGCGCCTTGTCTTTCTTGAATGAATTTAAACATTTGGGAGGAGTTTTTGTCAATCTTATTAATTATTGCATGTTTCCATTTTACTAGTTAATTTGATATTTTGCATGAAATTGTCTTTTTTTTGTTCCTTGTTATATATTTTGTTCAACAGCTGGTTATATGGTTAGCGCATTCGAAAATTTTCCCTGATCTGTTCTTACCGTTAGTTTTCCCTGTTTCGAATTTTTTGTTGATCCGTCGTTTTTACTCTTCTTGATTTTTTGTGGTTAAAATTGCAGGATTTCTAGATTTTCTTTTAGTGTTGTTTGTTGATTTCTATGACGAGGATATTAATCAGTGCTTCTACGACGAGGTTGTTAGTGGAAACTGCTGAAAATTGCAGATAATATTTTTATTGCTTAGATAAATATAAATATTTGTTTGACTATCGGATTTAATGTTTCCAGTTCACTTGAAATTTCTGGAAGACTTTATTCTACTTTCGGTTCTGTGCAGAAGGAGAAAAGTAATTTTCATTTTCCATACAGAAACTATTTGGAAATATTGCAATTTAAAGGCTTCTGATACCAATGTTTGTTTCTAGTACTTCAACATGCACGTGAATTGTTGAACTTATTAATGAAGGTAACATACACGTTACCTTCATTAATAAATTAATATACAACGTGTTTCTATTATCGGTTTGCGGTAGGGAGATGATTGATAATACTGCGGATAGACGAGTATTTGCGGGTCAGTTTAAGTACTGATGACAGGAGATTGGCTTAAATTAGTTTAGTCCGGTGCTAGAGGTGGTTTGATGGGAAGTCGCCTTTCCATCTAGACCGTTCTCTACATAAGGTAAGGAGGCTGCAGGCTGCAGCAAGGACTGAGGACTTTGGCGTAGTAAACCTCTCCTGCTGTCATGCGTGCGTCTCCGCGTCGAGTATTCCTTAATAGAGAGTGATGGTACTGCGGAATGCTGCAGATCATCGAAACAAGATGGGGAAAACGAAAACGAATTTGCAATCAAATGCCGATGTGAAGATGGAGGTTGATGATGATGTAAAGCCATCGGTAAATGATTTGGGTGACAGCATCGAACCGCCAATGTCAGCTAAGGTTGGTCAGATATAGCATTTTTAATATTTAGCAAGTATTGTTTTGTGGTGTGCATGTTTGGCATCGAAGGCCTGTATTAGATTAATCATAAATTTAAACTACCATCAGTTGATATATGAGAGAATTATCGAACGTGTTTTGGTGGTTTGATGTCGACTACGATATACAAATTGTATATGAGAAAAAGTAGGTTTGATCTGTAATATTCCAAATAATCATTGATTTCAGTTACCCGTAACATATTACTTTGCGCGTTGTGTCCGCCCTTTCAAAATTCGTGGTTCATAACTTCATATATAGAACTGATTTTTTGTATCATAAGTTGCTTTCATCGAACTGGAGGAATTTCAGGATGAATATGATGAACTTTGTACTATGATTAATGCTATTGCCCATCCACTTGCTCCAAGAAAAGTAGCAAAGAAAATTTACAAATTAATAAAGAAGGTAAGAGTTTCACTCGTTTTTGTCATTTTTGATTTTGCTTCTGTTTTCCTTGATTTATATGATTCCCTTATAGTTTTATTCGCTGAAAAATGTTTATGATTTGAAGGGTCAGCTTTTTCCAGGCTTCTAAGAATAGGCAACATTTGAGGCAGGGGATGTGCGATGTTCAAAAAGCTTTGAGAAGGAATGAAACTGGTATCGTTGTGCTTGCAGGTAGGATCTTTCAATCAAGTTAGACATATCATTGCTCTTAGATTGTTTAGATCATACGGCATTAACCATACGGTCATGTACTTGTCGTTAATATTGTCAGTGATCTCCGGAATAAGATTGTCCAGTGAAGCAGCGCTCAACTCGTTCGTCTGCTAGTCAAGGTTTCATTGGTTTTTACATTAAAAAAAGGATATTTCTAACGTCTCCGAATATAGGAAAATCTTTAATGAAGGTTTCATCAAACACCGAAAACCTTTAATAAAGAATTACAGCGAACTTTGAATAAATAGCTGTTAAAAAATAGCTGTTCATTCAAAGTAATTCTTTATTCTCTGTAATTCGGATGCGTTAGGAATAGTCTTAAGGGGTTAGAAATTGTCGTATAGAAGAAACCTCGGAAACTAAAAGATGTTTACAGGTAATGTATCACCAGTAGATGTTTATTCACATATCCCAGGCATATGCGAGGAAAAAGATATTCCATATATATTTACACCATCACGTGAGCACCTAGGATTGGCTGCTGGTAAGGTTTCGGAATTCTTGTAATTAATTTTAATTTATCCTCAAATTTGGTCTTTTATCAGGTAAAAACTGTTAGGTTATTTCCCTTACGTATTTTTTGATAACAGGTTGCTTTATGAAAACGGTCGTACATTGCTTTCAATAGTAGTTTACGATTTTTTTCATTTGATTACCTTTTTTTATTCATTTAGCTGTGAGCAGGTTTAATTTATTTAAAATGTTTGGTGCACTTCCAGTTCTATTTTGACCTTTTTAGATAGTTTTACATCATTCTGAGACGAATTGGTTTCTTGGTAGGAAATTTTATTTGAATTTGCTTTCCTATTCTCAGTCTGATGAAATGTTTCAGGACACAAAAGGGCGGCTATACTACTTCTCATAAAAGAAGATTCAGATTATGCAGATTTGTTCCATGAAGTATTTGAACTGATCAAGAGGATTACACCCGACGCTTGATGCAGAATCTTTGTGTGCCGGAATTGTTGTTTCTTGCTCTTGTGTGGTATGCTGTATAAAGAATTTCAACATTTTGTCATGCACTTTTGTTTACTCGCTTGAATTGAAGTGGTGGCTGTCACGGTGGAAATAGTTTTTGAGTATCGACGTCCTACTTGTCCGGAATTTAAATTAGGATTAACAGTTATAAAACACCGAGCTGCTAGGTCACAGTACTGGGAAAAAAAGAACATGGTATTTAGAATAGTGATTCAAGGGTCAGAACTGAATAGGGTGATAATGATATGTTGCATATTTTTATTCTAAGATGCGGAAAGCTTTTCACTGGTGTTTTGTATTCTTTGTAGTGTGGTTCGGTTGAGTGAGTAACGGCTATACTCATCTTTTGTTACTGTAATGATAAGGTAAAGGAAATTCGATGGAAGAGCAATAGCATGTAAATGTTAGCACTAAATTTCGACAATTTATACATCATATTCGAGCAGTAATAATAATAATTAAAGTTGGCGACGTATATGAATAAATTTGTAAAATGAGCAAAAAAAGCAACAAAAATTTGCAAAATTTGAAATATTATATGATTTAATTGAATTGTATTAACTTTATAATGATGATAAGGGAAAGATCATTTATTCGTTATCAGTAATTATTTCAAATGGAAGACACGTAACATATACCGGAATTTCTCTTTAATAATTCTATAAATTACGATAAGAAGAAAGAGAATCGAAATTTCTAATCATTTCAATTCTCAATTAAATAAATCAAACACAAACGAAGAAGTGAAACGAATGTATCATCATCATCGTTTCATGTTAATTTTTCCCTTTTCTCTTTCTTACATTCCATTTAACATCATCATAAACTGCTGCTAAATTGCTTACAACTGCTTTTTTTCACGAAATAAAATTTAATTATTTAAATATTAGTAGGAAAGAAATTGACAAAACAAAAAGAAAGGCAAATGTGATGATGGTGATGATGATGATGATGTTTGATGAATTCACATTTAAAAATAAATGATACCTGCAAGAGAATTCATGTTTACTATTTAAGAAATAGTTTTTTTAAAAAAAAAGACGGAAAATGAAAATTAATTAAAAGAAAAGGAGAATTGGCGAGATTATTTGGCTTGTAAACGAATTGGTTACAATGTCGAAAATTATTTCGTCGTTCTTTTTTTCGCTTATTTCTTTTTAAAACGAAACGAAATATCATTGTTAAGCAATGCATCAAATATTAAACGTAATGTATACATAAAGCAATGCAACAACAACGATAACTTATTAGTAATATTATTATTATTATTATTATTATTATTATTATTATTATTATTATTATTATTAATCATACACCTGATTGATAATAATAGTAAATAACAAAAAAAGAAAAAATTGATCAAATTGTTTATTTGTATCAATGAATGATTGATATAAGCGAAATTATCGTGCAATTAAATTATAATTCGTTTTTGTTTTAGTGGCAATCATATACATATGCAACGGCTAAAAAAAAAAAGTCATAGCGTTCGCTAGAAGCTTCATTTTTTTTACAAAAAATATTTTACTAGCAATTATTCAATTTTTTTTGTTTGATGTTTTCGAAATGAAATTTTAATCAGCTAAAATTATCAGAGAAATATATCGCTGATAAAATCTTAAGCTGAATAAAATTGAGCTATATAATTTTTAGGGCATTCCTAAAAATATTTTTGAGGTAATATGTCGTTTATTTTCACTGCTAATTAAATTGCATGAAATTGTTGGATTTTTCTTTTTTGGAAATAACCTCAGAAATTTCAACTAATTGAAAACATT